AAAAATAAATAAATGAGAAAGAGGAAAAAAAGTTGTTATACTATCTTTAAAAACATGTTTTTTAGGTGGGTTGAATAATGCTTTAAATAGGTGATTGGCTTTAAAATGGTTCATTTACAAATTGTACAAAGATATAATTTTGTCAGTAATATTGATTATCGCAAAACCTGAAGTACTGCCCAAATGAAAATTTTATTATTATTTTTAACTAAAATTTTTCCTTCAGATATAAAATACTTGGACAAATACTGTAAAATGTGCCTAGTTATCTTGTGAGAATATTTTAAATGTTGACTTGGCTCACATGCTTTTTTTCATGAAGTAGAAAATGAATGTAGAATACTTTTCCCTTTGTAAGCTCAGTGCTTAGAGTTTAGGATTTGAAATGGTGATTTAAATTTTGTCTTCTTATTAGTGATTTAAATGATTTCCTTCCTTTTAGTTGAATGAATTATTGTGAGAAAAGAGAAGGGAGATGTTAATTCTTTCCTTTATTTCTGAATCTCATTCTAAAACCTGATCATTTTTAAGTTGCTGCTTTTTTTTAACTGAATTTGACTGAAGGGTCATGAAAAGATTGATCATTCTACTTCCCTCTCTAACATATTGGATTGTGCTACTCAACCTCCATCAAGGTAAAAGCGCTTTGTGTTGAAAGCAATTTAGACCTGGCCGAGAGGCAGCGCACATCCAATCTGCAGTCTGAATTTAAGCCACTCACCTGAGCTCTTTCTGAAAAATTAAAACTGTACACACAACGATAGACTGCTATTATATTGAATTTTTAACATGAAATTAATACTTAATAAGGTTATCAATAACTCGGAAATACCTGAGCATTTTGATGTATTGTATCGGGATAAACTTCCTCTGAAGCATGTTGCTTTCCAGAAACAGATTGAGCACTAAGTGTATAAGAAGACTGCATTTGTTTAAACTAAAAATCAGGACACCTACTGTGTCAAATATTTGTTTTTGACATTCATAAAATGATTTTCAATCAGGTCTGCTATGAAAACTGTAAGCTTCATGGTCATCTTAATTATGATCTACATTTAAAAAATGAAGATGTTTTATTGAATTTCTAAGGGGTGACCTACAGGTTGAGCATCCCTAACTCAAATACCTGTTAATCCAAAATACTTTGAAATCCCATATTTTCTGAGCACTAGAATGACACCCAAGCAGAAAACTCAACACCTGACTGCATGTGCCAGGGGGCAGTAAGATCTACCTTTGGGCTGTGTATATACAAAACAAAGGAATTTTATGTTTAGACCTGGGTTCTACTCCCAAGATATCTCAACATGCATATGCAATTATTCCAAGCTCTGAAAACATCTAAGAGTCAGAACTTTTCCAGTGCTGAGGTTTCTGGTAAGGGATGCTCCACCTGTACAGTAATTACTGTTACTGTTGTTTTCACTACTGCTCATTGCTATAGCTCAAAATGATCACATAACCATGTATCTCTAGGCAAAATAATTGTCTAATTCCTTGTCAATCCAACTACTTCTAATTCTTTATGAAAAGCTGTTCAGGCAATAAGCTTGTTCTTCTAGTAGGGTCTTCTCTGCTCACAAATATTGTTAGATGTCCCTCATCCTCCCATGTTTTCTCAGCCTTCAAAGCCTTGGTACTGTTGTCCTTTCTGTGTGTGACTCTTCCAAACAGCTTCAGGTAACTTCTAAATGCTGGTGAGTTTTAGCTCTAGTAGTGTAACAAAGTTATTTATCAATCCTCTTGATGAAAGTGATTAAAATGGGTAATAAAATATTTTCAAACATACTAAAATACTTAAAGAATAGATAAGATAAAAAGGAATTACCAGCTAAACATCATCATACCACCAATGATAATAGAAAATTGTTAATAGCAGTTGGTAAAAAAAAAAAAGACACAAACCATCAAAAATAATAATCACACTGATTCCTGGTATCACAAAAGCAACGAGAGGCTACCAGGGATGAGGAAGCAGCATCTTCAGTGAGTCAAAGGAAAAAAATCTCCAGTTTAGAATTCTATATTCAGTGAAAATATCTTGTGAGGATAAATACATATTCATACAAACACCAAGAGCATTACTTCTCATTACATAAAATTATAGGAGATTTACTCCATGCAGAAGAAAGGCAGTCCCAGATGTGAGGTCTGCAGTATGGAAAAAATAAAATGTAAAGAATGTTTTAAATATTTAGTAAATCTAAATAAGTATTGGCTTATAAACAATATTAATAATGCCCCATGGTGTCAAGAAAAATTAAATATAAGACAATATTTGTATTCATCCAACAAAATTGATAATATTTGTATTCATCCAACAAAATTGCCTCAAAATTAAGTCAGTGAAAATGGACAAAGAAAAATTATCCCCCCGAAAAAAAATTCAATATGGATTTAGAATTATTTGAACATCATAACCAATATATTTTAATAAACATATATTGGATAATACAACCCCAAACTGCCAAATGCATACAATGTTTACAGAAATTGACTATCTATACTGGGTTATAAAGGAATTTTATACAAAGACCAAACATGAATGGCATGCAAAACATGTTACATGAGCACAAAGCAATTCAACCAGAAATCATCAATGTAAACATAAATTAAAATTTTTCATATAAATAAAAATTAAAATGCAATTTCAAATATACATGTACCTGCATATCTATAATACAATTTATAAAATAGTTATAATATATGGGTAATAAAAATTGGCACATTTCAAAACATAGAATCCAGATAAAAGCACTATATGATAAAAACATAAATGGATGCATTTTTTAAAATAGGCTAAACATGGTACAGTAAACATTAGAAAAAAACAAAAGAACTCTAAAGAAGGTGAGAAAAAGAAATAATAATAAGACCAGAAATTAATAAATTAGAAAGTAAATATAGACCAAAGAGGACAAACTAATCAAAGATTCGTCCTTAGAAAAGCAAATCAAGTTATCCCTGAGATATTTAATTTGACAGAACAAAAACACAATTGTAGGAATGACAAAAAATGAAGATTACTACAGATACCTGAGACAAAAATTACAAAAAATATTTAATAAAACAGGTAATTTCAAGTAAAACCGTAACTTACCTAAATAACCCAAGAAGAAATGGAAGCCATGAATGGTGTATAAGGATTAAAGATTTAGCCAGGCATGGTGGTGGTGCACACCTCTTATCCTGGTAGCTCTGGAAGCTAAGGCAAGAGGATGGCAGTTTTGAAACCAGCCTCAGCAACTCAGGGAGGCTGTAAGCAACCTAGTGAGACTCAGTCTCAAAGGCAATATTGCTCAATGGTTCGGGGCCCTTAGATTTAATCCCTGGTACCAAAAAAAAAAAAAAAAATCAAAGATTTGATTATTTGATTGTAAACTTTCCCTCAAAAAAAAAAATGCTGTACTCCCAGATAGTTCTACTGGAGAGTTGAGCCCATGATTCAGTATGTTTCAATAAAACAGATAATTCCAATAGAATGCAAACTCATATGGAAAATAAAAGAAGATAAACACCTCTAAGCCTGACTTAATGAAATCAATTATTATGATCAACAATATTAATAATCTAAAGGAGAAAAATCATCTGATTATCTTGAGAAATCCAGAAAGGCACTGGATAAAATATAATATTCTATCATAAGTAATAGAATAAAAGTACTAGAAAAAATGTTTTAAGTAGAAATAGACAAGGACTTCCTTAACTTAGTAAACAGTATCTACAAACAAACAAAGAAAAATACTACAGCAAACATAGTACATAGTGGTATAAATTTAAGGATTTTTACATTAATGTATTTATTCAACATTTCCTGAATATTCCAGCTACCACAGTAAAGCAATAACAAGAACAAAAAGTGTATATGTATATAGAAGAAACTAAAGCTGTCAGCATTTGCAATTCATTTCATTGTGTACCTAGAAATACAAAATAATCTGCAGATAAATCATTTATTCACTTAATAAATGAATTTAGCACATTGGCTGAATATAAATCAAACACTTTGATAAACTATAGTTTCATATGAGTCACAAACAAAAAATGAAACTTGAAAAGGAAAAACGTTTACAATGCTACAAATAAATGATCACTTTCTAGGAATAAACGTGCAATACCTTTCAGAAGAATTATAGACCTGAGTGAGTGGCTTCGATTGAAGCTCTCATGTGACTCCGTGACTCCGTGGTTGCTCATTCATATCTGTTGCTACCACCCCTTTCCTACACCTGGTATTTTCTGCTTTGATGGCTCGAACAATTTCCTACCTTATTTCTTCTCTGTTATCTTCATTCAGACAGCAAAATGGCTACTGGGCAATGAGATGTGAAGATTGTTTCACTGCTTCCTTTTTACTCTTTGCTTATAAATTGATGATGATGATGATAAATGGATAAATAAATAGATAGACCTATAGATAGTATTCTTTTTCATACTTATAGTAATATTACAACTTCTGAGATTTGAAGTGATATACTATTGATTTGCACTGAAAAGGGAATTATTAATATGACTTGGATGCATACATGGGGTAGAAATCTTATTTACAAAGCCTTCAAAGAAGCTGGATCTGTTGCCTAGTTATTCCCTTTTAAAACATTAAGCCTGAGAAACACAAAAGTGTGTTTCTCGCTTGCAGATATGCATGCGACAGGTCAAATTCTTATCTGCAAAATGTAAATTGCCTTTTGATGCATTAAAGATGTGAAGCTCAATCATAAACATAAATTCAGCATGACCCAAGATAGATACCACTGAAAAACATCTGTAATCTTGGAACCCTTTTCTGAGTTAAAAAATTAAAATACTATTGTTGCAAACTCATGATTTAGCTACTTTTGTGCTTTTTTAAAAGACAGCCGACTGTGAATCTGTGTCATTCCTCTTAAATGATACTAAAACTGCTGTTTCTTTTTTCCCCCACCCTCTCCTCTCTTGCTTCCTCTCCAAATCTGCTGGTGTTTTAACTCCTTTATGGTGGGTGTGGTCCTCTCCATCAGCCATGTGGGTAGTTGAACCAAACTCTCCTATCTGCCTCTCTGCTGCCCTGCCTGCCAAGAGACACTCGCAGGAATCCAGGTTGGTTGTGGGGCGTGGGGTCCAGGGGATTAAAAATCCAAGTTGTGATCAGGGCATCTTCTTTCCTTCCAGCATCCTGTGAGCCTCCTGGGTGCTCACCCTGAGGCTTTGACCTTGACCTCACAGGTTTCCTGGTATACAGTACTTTTGCACCTGACCTCTTCTTCACTGGAACATTTCACCCCTTCTGTGCCCATCCCTTCAGGACCCTGCTACCCTCCCTATCTCGAATGACTGCAAGACAAAAATACAGTTTTAAGCATCAAGGTGGACAGGTGGCAGAAATTTATACTCAGAGCTTTCCTCATGTCTCAAATCATAAAAGAAATATAATTTTCTATTTCATTTTTATGTAACCCCAGGCCTGATGATGTTTGGTAATACCCCCCCACACACCATGACCCCAAAATAGCCCTCTTCTCTCAACAGGAGTAGACATAAACCAGGTGCAGCCATGGAGGGATCTTATGCCAACCCTCACTCTGGCCTGCATTGTTCTCTATAGACCTGAGTGTCCAAATCCTGTGGAAGGGCCCACAGGAAAAACAGTTCACAGCATGTAACAAAAGCATGAAGTCAGCAGAGCATCTGGGAAAGGGCACAGGCAGGAGCAGGCCCGTCTCCGTTTAGACTCCAAAGAAGCGTCTTGATAAACTGTTACTCTGAGAGGGTGCCAAGCCTTCAGTCTTCTTACACCTATAATAAGCTAAGGGCACCTGCCCCGCCATGATGCTGGGAGAATTTGAAGCAACCAATGTAAGATCCTGTCACAATGACTGGAAGAAAGCAGGTGCTCGATTAACTGTGTTTATTACTATTTACTGAGATTCGGCAACAAGGAATCTTGTGAAGTAGATATTATCTACTAATTGTACTTATGTAACAGATGAGGAAACCAGATCTCAGAAAGATTAAGTAACTTTCCTAAGGCCAAACTGATGAAAATGACAAAGTTGGGACCCCAATTCAAGTCTTTTATTTCTAGTACACAGTGGTATTTTCACTATACCACATGGAAGAAGAAGGGTTGAAATTTGACATATTTAAGTCAACTGATAATCTTCTCCTGGGTTTAATGTATAGGTGTTGTTATACATCATAGCTTCCTTCATTCTACTGATTTCAAATATTGCAATTATAATTTACACAAACTTTATAATGATTTTTAAAAGCAGGAAGATTCCATTTCTGGCATATATTGTTTCCATCTACCTGATATCTCTGATAGGTTCCCTAAAACTTGTATCTCAGAACTAGAGACCCTCACATCCTAAAGTGGGAAATCGAAATTAAAAGATGATCTTTATTTTTGCATGGCTTACTTAAAGAAAAGTCACAAGATTGTTTAAAGTGAGGCCATTATTGTCCCAACCACATTTATGGAGAACTGAGCAGTTGGCAGACATTGTGTGCTTTCTTTCAAAATGCAACATAAGTTTAAAAATATTCTGAGAACAAAACTAACTCATGGAATATTTAATACAATTCTAAAAATTTGAGAGTGATTTGAGGAGGGTCAAATAAGCAGAGCATAGAGGATTTCTAGAGTAATGAGAATACCCTGTAGATACTATAATAATATATACATGTCATTCATTATTTATTTCTCTAATCCCATAGAACATACAGCACAAAAGTGAACCTTGGTGCAGACTGAGGATATTGGGTGATTACCATCTTCAGTGTGTAGTTTACCAAAGCAAATAAGTGCAGCTCTCCCTGGGGAAATGTTGGCGACAGGGAGGCCGTGTGGGGGCTGAGGCATGGCCAACAGGGGACCTTTCTGTACATTCATCTTAAATTTCCTGTGAACCTAAAACTGCTCTAAAAAAATAAAGCCCCCTCCCCCCCAAAAAAAGGCAAAAACAAGAAAATCCAGGAAGGAAAATCCGAGATTAAAAATATGTCCCAGATGTTTTATCTGGGGTCACATAATCAAATATTTTCCAGGCCAATACTTATAATGAAAAGGAGGGCAGCAGACTCTGAAGGCATGCTTTAGAGAGGTCCCAAGTTCACCAATTACTGCCCAGTGCAGCCTGATTTACTGTTTGTTCCAGAGAAAACAGAAACGTGGTCTTTTGCGGGGGATACATTCTTCCACTTTCCAAGTGTTGGCAGCTAAATTAAAATATTTTAATACTGTGCAGGCCGATATGGCTCTCAGTTTGTGAGTCCTGTTATATTCTCATTGCTGTGCTTTTGATATAAAACTATCTCTATTTTAAGCTTATTCGATTTTTATTTATAATGTTTGACATTTAACAAGCTGCACTTTTTAAAGTCATAAAATGAAAATGCATTGATTTTCATTTAAATAAGGAACTGAGTTACTTGCACCATGTGGAAATAATCTACAACTGTAATAATAACAACTCCAAGTTCATTTTGCAGAGTTGATCATTAAATCTTAATATATATGCCAAAATGCCTGCTAGCAGGAATTACCTGGCCAAGGTTATCCCCAAAACCTTACCTAAGGACTGTTCTTCAGGCCCATTCCAACATGCTGAGATTGTTTTAGTATTTCTTCAAAATCATCCTCCTGGCTTGGATATTTTTTAAAAATACTCTAATGTACCCAATAAAGAGCTCAATAAAATTCTTGAGTCCATTAAAATTGTTAAGGAAAAATGAAGCCATTAGTTTTGGCCATTCTTACGCATCAGGAGGTGCTCCTTCTCAGGGGATATGTATTCATGGAATGATAATATCCTTTAATACTGTGCCAGAAAGTTTGGCTGGCAGCCTCCAAGAGCCTCAGCTCCTGATCTAAGTCTCATTACCCAGAGCTGGTGAGGTACTGCACAGGGTAGTCCCAGGTGAATTCATTTCATCAATTATCTACAGAGTTACAAAATCCTTCAAAAGTCACACCCCAGAAACATAAAGGGGGCAAGGTATAGCTCACAGGCAACTGCAAATGTTTTTCTCAGACAGGTGAAGCTTGTGTTATGAAGTGTGCTTCCAGTTTAAGGTAACATCTGCTGGCTTCTCCAGTCACATTGGTCCACTTTGACTGTGCTGGCTGAAATGTCTGTCACCTCCGTAGGACCCGTGAGAAGTCCTCGCTAAAGCAATCCCATATATGTGAGGGTTACCAACTTCATGTGATTTGAAAGGAAAAAGTTATTTACTAACCAGAGAAATTCCTTAGAGCTGTAAACACGATAGAATTTTGCATTTCTTAATTTGTTCATAACCACCAAATTTCCAAAGGTCTTTCTATCACCCATTTAAAAATAGAAAACATTATCTGGCCACAAAATAATATATACAAAATGTACAGGAACTGCAAAAAGGAACAAGAAAGAAAATATCACAAATAACCCCATCACCCTAAGGTGACCAGTGTTAATATTTTCATGTTTTCATGAGTATGAAACTTTGTATGACCAATGCTTTAATTAACTCATTGACTCAAGAAATGTTTACTGAGCTCTTACTATATATACTCCTACTATGCTGAGCTCCTATTATGCCATATTCTTGGAATGGGAATATATCATTAAACCCAGCATAGATAGCTACATTCATGGAGTTTATAACCTGTAAGCAGTGAGGGCAGGGGGGGAGAGGAAGGTAATAAATAATAGATGCAGGAAGTTAATACATTCTATGAAATGTTAGAACATCATAGGGATACTGAGAAAATAGAGCAGGGTAGGAGATGTTAGGAATCCAGAGACAGGGAGGTCTAGAGGGCAATTGCAGAAACTGTAGTCAGGGGAAGAAGTGTCACTGAAGAGGTGGCATTTGAGAGACCTGCAGATCTCCAGCAAAGCAGGTTCCAGCTGGGACAACACCTTATGAAGCTCCAAACCATAGCCATGCCTGGTCTGTTCTAGGAAAGCAAAAGCAAAGAGTGGCCAGAGTGAAGAGAGAGGGAGGCGGAATGCAGAGGGGACTGAGTGTCAGAGACAACAGGGAGTCCAGGCAGATGAGCTCTACAGGGTGCTTCTCAAGGGCTTACAACTTTGCTGGCCTGAAATGGTGCACTATTACAAGCTTTTCAGCACAGAATGACTGGATCAGCCCTTTTATGTGAGAAGCTGTCGCCTATGTTGATAGCTATGCATTGTAATATTTTGTATTCAACTGTTTTCAGTTAACAGGGGTATGGTGTCCCTGATGTATTTTTGGGTGAAGGGGAGTCATCTTCATATCTGCATACTAACTCCATCCATGGACACATTGATGAACATATAGTTTTCAGGGTGCTTTTCAATTAATCATAACAATGCACATGTCTTTATTTTTGTTTCTATCCTTTGAATAGAATCCCATTAAAAGGCATTGATGGGTAACAGGCTTATGCAGCTGAGAGCCTTAAAAAGCCTGTCCAGATAATTCCCCAGAAAAGCCATGGATTTACACTCCAAGAAGCAACATATGAAATGTGCATTATTTTTGCCAACAGAATACTATAACATTTGAGAGATCAACAAAATGCATTCCTTCACTTAATTATCCAAAAATTTTTAAAATCCACACTCTACATGGAAATCACCAGACACATCAGAAGGGCGCTTGCCTGTGTTCTTAACAAGCACATCTCTTACCTCTGCTTTTTTAAAAGCTGGGCTCCCATCCTGTCTCTTCCCCCCCCCCAGGCGCTTTCCTCTGTTCTGTTCTGTGATGTTTTACTTATAAGTGAAGCAGAGCCCCCACAGAAGCCTGACTTCCAGGATCTCTGGAAGAAAGGATTTGCCAGGCAATTAGGAAGGCAAAAAGAAACACAGAAGAAGAAAGAAATAGAAGATGCCCCCAAATAATTTTTTATCTATTTATTGGAGTAATCTAACTAAATAGTTGCTAATTAAAGTAGCATATTAGCAGTACAACTACTTTCCCCTAGAAACGGTTTCAATCCAGGTTTTCACCAATGCCAAATTAATCTTGTGTAGACTTTGGAGCTTTTCTTTAATCATCCTGATATTTTCCCATGTGAATGGATATAAAACCATGTTCCTGAACAATCTTAGACTCATTGAATGGAT